CCAAAATTCAGAATTTCTGGGTAACCAAATGTACTTTTTAATTGTTCGTTCACATTTGTTTATTTTTCTTTTTCTTTGGAAACAGAAGGATTTTATTTACTTAATTAGAAGGTTTATTCATACAAAAAGGAATCAGTCTAAATGATGTAGTTCCAGTTACATCTCTTTTGAGAGCTTTTGATACAATCGACATTCCATTACTAGAAATAAAAAAAAAATCACTAAGAATTAATGATAATGTTATGTTATAAAATATGACTTTTTTCTATTCATTTTTATCGCACCAGCTCAATGAAAAAACGCATGATGATAAACAAATTCTTATTGAAATACCGAAAAACTTTTCAATTTTTTCCTTATGAAAACACTGTTATATTTTCTTTTCTCATATTCAAGTGAAATAGTGATTCTTTAGTAGTGTCCCTTCGGAGACATTTGATAAATTTGGAACGATACAAAGAAGATTAACATGACTCCTCCAAAATAAATAACAATCATAAATCGAGAAAAAGGTTCAATTTTTTATTTTTATTTTAAAAAAATGTCCTTAGGCAAAACAAAGTTATTAATAATTAATAAATAAAAGAAAGACAATAAAGAAGGGAAGTTTACTAACTTTAATTACTAATGATGCATTAGTCCATTAGACAAAGTGGTTAACACCTAATTATGCCGACATTTTGACTTGCCTCAGTTATATCTTTCCCTTACGTTATGCTAACTCAAGTTTTAGAATTACAAATTCTTCTTTAATTTATGGTGGTCAAATTCCTCAATTTTATATGCAAAATTCTAAGGGATAATTACAATATCAAATACTTCGTAATTTACAAAATATATAGATTGTGAATATTTATATTAAATATAATATCCATATCTATCCACAACATATACACTGATAATATATATATAATGTATATTTCAATCATACTGATAAACTAATTGATCAAACTATACATATCTATAATATTACCAAAGTCTAACCATAATGTCCTAACTTGTTGATAATTTGGATTATAACAAATCCTCAATTTTGGTGTGTATTTTCAATAACGTGAGCCTAAAAACTAAGACCCTTAAAGGGAAAGTATTACATATACAATATTCTTGTTCCAAAATTTGAAGAGTACTGTAACTAACTCAATTATTTCTTTTCAATTGAAACAGCTAGAAATAACACACCTTTATGTAGAGAATAATATTATAATTAAATATAGAAAGATGATGACCAATCAACAAAAATAATTAAACATTTAAAACGACTTTTGACATAGATAACTTGTAATTGTGTCCTTCCTTTCAAACATAAAAATTATGTGTATCTCTAGGTTACTTGCCTATGCAAGTTAGTAGAATTAATTATTAATGGTTTTGTGTAACAAAAGAAACAACAAATAGCGAAAGACAGAATATCTCGATAGCCATCACTTGATAAGTAAATTTATGAATATGTAAATTAAGGTATATAATTGAATATTCAAACATATAATAAAATATTTTTATTAAATATTTTTAGTTCAAATATTGATTTTTTTTTTTTGCATGTTATGAAATGCTTCTTAAATAGATAAGTTAACTACTTAACCTATGCCATTTTTGTTAATTACATGCCCTAGCCTCGAAACGCAGTAAATATTGAGGTTTGTGTTCCAATGATGTGCATAATAAAAAATGTGACATATTTTATGCAGTTACAACTTATCGACATAACAGACATTTGAGAAATTACACTACTTAAAAAAAAATTTGAAAGTGTTTAATATATAGAAATATTTTATTATATATAGTAGTATTATCAATTGAAATAAATCTTAATTCGAATGTCTAAATTAAATTAATGACAAATTTAAATGGTTGTGATAGTGTAAAGGGCACATTAATTATTATTCTTTAGCTTTTGAATTATCATTTCCTTGGATAGATTGCAATGTCAACCCTAGCGTAAATAAAGCAACCTCAAGTGCAAGCTTTGAAAACAATGGTTACCTTCTCAAATTTCAAGGTGAGTGTTTAATTAGTACTCATTATTATTAAAAGATTAAAATAAAAGATGAAAATCTTCTTCTTTTTATTTGCAATCTTTGTTAAGAATAATATGTTTCTCAGCTGAGATATTTAAGTGTACGAAAACAAGAGTACAAAATGTATAAATTAATTAATTATAATAATTGCATCTTGCTTCTTCCAAAATATCTGCCTAAAGTTATGTGGTTAGTACGTCTATCGTACCATTATCACATTATGATTGTACATAAAGTTGTATGAAAAGGGAAAAGTAAGTAGGTAAATATCTAGTGCTATGAGGAAAAAATAAAAGTTCTGATGTGGATTTAAAATTTGATAAAAGTTAGGTTAATCAATCCATTTTTTTTTTATAAATATAGTGTGGTATTATTTGTTTTGAGTGAAATTTACATCGTTTTTTTTAAAAAAAATCTCACATCATTAAGAGAATCTATATACATATAAGTAGTTTTTCTAACCTTTTTAGCAATTGATACTTTGTTCACATGCCCAACAATCTCTCTTTTAAACTAAATTTTTCGTGGCTCATTATCACGAATTACTATGTCAATTTTTGAGATTCACTGTGTGCTATACCTATATCATCTAAGCATTTATGGCAACCGCTTGCAACTAGCCTCTTTTGTATGTGCATCTCTAAGCTTGTAAAGGAAAGTAAACCGAGCTTCACGCCATCATCTACACTTCATCATACTCGTTTCGTTGAACTTGGACTTTGATAGTGATTAAATCAACTTAAAGATACTTTTAACTTAGTGTGATATTGTTCGTTTGTATTACGTGCACATGATCTTTCTTTTTAAAAAAAAAGCACCATTCCATTAAGAGATAATATATTTTATATATAATTTTTCAATCTTTTTAATTATATATATTATCAATATTAAATTTTATTTACGCATCCAACAAATTTATCAATAAGAAAATTGTCTAATGATTAAGAGATCACAATTCGACATGATATTTTATTTAAAATCAATGAATTTATTGTATTAAAATTTACTTGAGTATTTCCCCCCCTGATTTCCTCCGCATTAACTATGTGAAATGATAAAAATACAATATTTTAAGTGGATTATATTTTAAGTTGCATAAAATCTTGGAAGATTTGTTACGAAGGGTGTCGGCGGAGAAGATATATTACTCTTCAAACTAAAGCAATTTTTTCGTTTCTTTTTTTTCTCCGTTTACTTTATATATAGAGTATAATATAAAGAAATTAACCACTAGAAAATGAACAAAAACATTCAAACTTTTCTATAACAATATCTTTTATTTGAAAATTATTTAATTACTCTAATAAAATATTTAGAAAAAAGCGTAAAATATCCTTAAATTATAAAATTCGGTATAATATTACCCTTTATTTACCTTTTAGGTAAAAAATACCCCAACATTTAACTTTCAGGCAAAAGAAATCCCTTATTTCTAACAGCCAGTAATAAAAAGTTAACGTCAAAGATATTTTTGGCCTGAAAGGTAAAAGAAGAACAAAATATATTATGCCAAATCTTATAGTTTAGAAGCATTTTTAATCCTTCTCTATTCCAATTCATATGATTTACATTTTTTATTAGTCAATTTAAAAAAGAATGATACATTTCTATATTTAGCCACAAGACCAAAATTTAAAAAAAAAAAGTTTAGAAAAACTCTGTGCAAAAAATCAAACTAACTTATATAGATTGAAATAACAAAATATTTTATAATAAGATGTTAAAATTATGTTATAACGAGATCTGACCGTATAATAATTTAAAGAAGAGGCTTGAAGATGCAGCAATATAATGCATGGGTTGCCGGTAATAGAAGTAGCATCCGTGGTACATGCAGCCATGTAACCAGTCATTAAACTTTACTTGGAATTCCCCCCTCCAATCATCTTCTCCTTTTGTTTTCCTAAACTCCTCCTATCTTTTGTCTTCATGCACCTAAATACTATATTTTACCACAAATATTTATCACTCTCATGTAAATTTTTACGTGAGTTTTTGTTACGTGAAAATATGAAATTAGCTATGGAGTGAAGCATATTAATGGATGGGGAAGAAAATAATTAATATGGAATATTATTTATGAGCTTGTTTGCTTTGTTCTGGTTCTACTAGAAAAATCATTTTTCTCATTATAAGCATTTATCTTTTTATAGAAAATATACTTTGATTTTTTGACTAATCAATACCAAACACTGAAAAATTAGAAAAACAAATTATCTATACCAAAAAACACATAGTACTAAATTAATAAGTACATGACAATTTTAATCCATCCCTTTCAATTTTATTTGGTATATTTTGATCAAACACAAAATTTAACAGATAAAAGAATTAAATTTGTCATGTAAAATTTGTTTTACATGCATGTGTAGCTACTAGTTATAGATCACCTTATAAAAGATAAAGCGAAAATTAAAGACACATAGTTTCTCAATACGGAGATGTGATATTTTTTATAGTATCAATTACTTAAATTTTGATTTGAATATTATACTAATTTTTTGGAAATTATTACTTTTTATATAAATATTATAATTTTTGAATTAAATATTAAAATTACAATTTTTTCCTTAAATATTCTAATGGCAGTTTAGATACGTTTTTTTTCTAAAAAACAGAATATCATAGGCTTTAAATTGAATAGAATATTTTAAAAAATCCAGTTGATAAACTCTTAGTCGTTTCCTTTTTTTCATTTGTGAGTCGTGAACCAAATTTATTTTTTTTAAGAAAAAATTTCGAGGAACTCCCACCATTTTTACTTTCTAGATGAGAAATTGGAAGTAAGGTGCTTTACCCAACTTTGTTTTGTCAAGTTAGAAAAGTCAAAAATTCATAAACAAATATTTGCACATACATTTACCATTTTACCCCTAAGCTTTGTTTTAACTGTTTCATTGAATTCTTTGTTTCCAATAGGGGGTTCACACACCCCCACTTTTCCTCTATATATATTTCTGTCATTTCTCTTTCTTCAACAGAACTTCCAATCATAATTCCACAAGTTTTTCTCCATTTCTCTCTCTAATATTTTTCTACTTTTTCATCTTCTTTTTTTTTTTTAAAAAAAAAACATGCCAGAGGCTCCTTCAATAGATGATGGAAATTTTGATGAAAATAATAAAAAACTTATTCAATTCTTTGAAGACATCACTAGTAATGCTAATGATGTGCAAAAAAATGTTCTTAATGAGATACTTTCTCGTAATTCTGGTGTTGAATACTTACAAAGGCATCGCCTTATTATAAATGGCAACAATGATGACTATGAAAATTTCAAAAAAATCATGCCTATTGTTACTTATGAAGATCTCAAACCTGATATTGATCGTATCGCGGATGGTGATCGTTCACCCATCCTTTGTTCTCAACCAATTTCCGAGTTCCTAACAAGGTTAGTATATATGTACTCCATCAAATATTACTTTTGTTTTTCGTTTTATGAGTTCAACTGAATCAATTGCTTTGAACTCAGTTACTGGAAATTCTAGATTTGTCTCTATATTAAGTGTTACAAGTTGATAGTGGATATAAAGAAAGTTATCTTTTTCTATGCAATAATTGTTTTTGGGCATATTTGTATTTATTTATGTACTTGTTTTTTTTTTTAATCTATAGTTCTGGCACGTCTGGGGGAGAGAGGAAATTGATGCCAACAATTGAAGAAGAGCTAGGGAGAAGGTCATTATTGTACAGCCTTTTAATGCCAGTAATGAATAAATTTGTGCCAGATTTACAAAAAGGCAAAGGAATGTACTTTTTATTTATAAAATCAGAAGCAAAAACTCCAGGTGGTTTATTAGCTCGTCCAGTTTTAACAAGTTACTATAAAAGTTCATATTTCAAAAAAAGACCATATGATCCCTACACAAATTACACAAGCCCAAATGAAACAATTCTTTGTTTAGATTCATACCAAAGTATGTATTCTCAAATGCTTTGTGGTCTTTGTCAAAACACTCAAGTTCTACGAGTTGGTGCGGTTTTTGCTTCAGGTTTTATTCGTGCTATTCGTTTCCTTGAAAAGCACTGGCCTATACTTTGTCGGGATATAAAAACTGGAACGTTGAATCCACAAATAAATGACCCTATGGTACGCGAATCCGTGATGAAAATACTCAAACCGGATCCGGACCTTGCTGAATTTATTGAAATGGAATGTAGTAAAGAGTCATGGAAAGGGATTATTCCAAGATTATGGCCTAATACTAAATACGTCGATGTAATTGTTACTGGGACTATGTCACAATATATTCCAACTCTTAAATACTATGGTAATGATCTACCACTTGTTTGTACCATGTACGCTTCTTCTGAGTGTTACTTTGGTATAAATCTTGATCCTCTTTGTGAACCTAGTGAAGTTGCTTATACTCTCATACCTACCATGGGATTTTTCGAGTTCTTGCCCGTTGCTCGTGATGATCAAGGGCCACAAAAATCTAACAAGTATGACAAAGATAATTTGGTTGATCTTGTTGATGTCAAACTTGGACATGAGTACGAGCTCGTGGTCACCACTTATGCAGGTAAATTACTCTGAATCGTGTTACATAAAATAAGTTGTGATAGTATACTAGCAATTATAACCAAATTTAGTGTTTTCGTACTTTTCTTAGCCAATATAACATATGTTATACACTGATGTTATTTTTTTTTTTCAGGATTGTATCGTTATCGTGTTGGTGACATACTTAAAGTTGCTGGATTTAAAAACAAGGCTCCTCAATTTCATTTTGTGTGTAGAAAAAATGTTGCATTAAGTATTGATTCAGACAAAACTGATGAAGTTGAGCTACACGACGCCGTTTTAAAAGCATCGACTCATCTTGTACCATTTGAAACATCATTAACAGAATATACAAGTCATGCAGACACATCGACAAATCCAGGACACTACGTTTTGTACTGGGAAATCAACAATGATGAATCCGATGAAACATTAATCCCGACATCAGTGTTTGAAGATTGTTGTCTAACAATTGAAGAATCGTTAAACAGTGTCTATCGACAGTGTCGCGTTTCGGATAAATCGATTGGTCCCCTTGAAATAAAGGTAGTTGAGAATGGCACATTTGATAAGCTTATGGATTATGCTATTAGCAATGGTGCTTCCATTAATCAGTACAAAGCTCCACGGTGTGTTAACTATGCTCCAATTATTGAGTTATTGAATTCTAGAGTTGTTTCGAGTTATTTTAGCCCGAAATGTCCTAAATGGGTTCCAGGTCAGAAGCAATGGTTATCAAGCTAAGAGAATTCATCATATACGAGAATCTGGTTGAATTGTTATGACGAATTCAGAGGTTCAATTTCTACTGGATATATGTAAGTCAATAGGACCCTCCAATAATGCACAGGATTAAACTTAATTAGAAGTACTGTTTTTTTCTTTTTTTAATTTTATTGTATGTGTGTTTTTCATGTACATAATTTAAGTTATGTTTTATTTTTCCGTTTACTTGGTAGCACTAAAATCCAACAATAAGCAACATGGGGATTGGATTTATTGGAATTCCCATCCAATTACAAAAATGTCTCACTTTAACTTGCTAATTATTATTTCTGTCGGTACATATAATATATTATATGATATTTTTATTTATTTTTATATTTAATTTAAACTAGAGAAATTTATACATAATTAAGAAGATTATTTGATCCACCTAAATTTACCTGTTTTTAGATAATAATTTTTACATAATCAAGAAATTAATCATATTAAATAAGTAGTATACCCCTTTCGTTCCTTTTTAGTTGTCATGTTGAACTTTTCGAAAGTCAATTTGACTAATTTTCAAATTTAAATTAAATTACATTAATTTGATATTTTAAACTAGAAATTTAGATATTTAAAAACTATACAATGTGTACTACAAATTGTAACGTTTTTCATATCAATATGATGAAAAAATACATCATAAAATATTAGTTATTTGACTCTAAAAAAGAAAATCATAATAACTAAAAAGGAACAGAGGAAGTAATATTTAATTAAAAAAGAATAATGTAGTGTAAATATATATATATATATATATATTTTTTTATTTTTTTTAATTATTATTATTATTTTTTATTATTAATATTTTATTTTATTTTTTTTAATTTTTTTTTTTTCGTTTTCCTACCCATGTCCAGATCCCAAATTGAATCTTCGGCTAACTCTGGATCGTGCACGCAGACCCTATTCGGGGATGACGCTCCCTAACAAAAAAAATCCATACCCAGTATGAGTGCATCTAAGAGATGTGCCAAAACTAAAAGCACCATATAATACAGATCGGAGTGAGTATAGAATATATTAGCGTCACATGGCAATCATGTGACTTGGAATTGAAGAAAAATATGTAGGTAATATTATACGAATTAGAAAATTCAAATTGATTCTTATTCGATTGATCAATTTATTTTTTTACTACATATATAAAGAGGAACATCTATGAAATAAAATTTATTGTAGGACTTAGATTTAGATTTAGGATTATTTGTAATTTAAAGCATGTGCAACCATAATTGTTGCTGCATACATGTTACCCTTTCGACTGAATTAATACCCTACTAATACCTTAAATTAGCTGTCCAGTCATGCTGGTAAAGGCCTGGGACAAAGTCCTTCAGGTCGCCGGTTCGAGCCCCAGCAGGGCCACTGGAGGCATTACAAACCGGCCGCGTCTCCAGGGCCCCGTGGAACTAACCGTGGTGGACCCGCCTTGAAACAGCGGGACCCGATGGGTACAGCTAGTCGGGTTCGCAAAGCGACGCCCGGAAACCACGGTAAAAAAAAAAAAAAAAAAAAAAAGAAGAAGCTGTCCAGTCATGCTGCCGTCCCTATGATTTTGTCGGTCTTCCGTTGATTTTTTTTTGTCTATGTTGACTCGATCGAAAGAGCGTTTTACTTTTTAATGTGAAAAATTTTAACGTGTTTTTTTTTCTTCATCTTAATGACGTTTGAAACCTTCAATTTTCGACAAAAATATAGTTCAAGAGTTGAGAATTGCTATGAGGTCCAACATATATCGAAAATAATAAATTGAGATGGATCTGACCAGAGGTGGATCCACATGTATAAAATTCAGAAAAAATCATGTATATCTTTCTTGAGAAACTGTTAGAAACTAAATATAATAAATAGTGCCCATGAAAAGCATAGGATCACACTTGGTCCTGGCTAGTGCATCCCCCCTCGCGACCTTGGTTTGAGCCCAGTCAAAACCACATTTTATTGTTTTTATTATAAGTTTTAAATTTCAAGAGGACTGATGATATTAATGCACTAGAAGTCTTCAAATTCTGAGTTCACCTCTGGATCTAACTCTAATATATCATGTTAAGAAAATGAATTTTGGACTTAATTCAACTTTAAAAGTTACGACATGAAAAAGTAAACCTACAAAAATACTTGGTACATAAGTTTGGCAAAAGTTTGAAAAAATAGGTAAGTTGGATTTATTTTAATAAATATGGCAATTATCTTAGGTTTTGAATCGTGATTAACGGATTCAGTGAGCTGTGTCCATCATTTGATCAAGTTTAGGATACTAACAAAATACAAACTACGAAATTAAAATAACAATATGCTACAATTATCCATGGACCAGCATTACTTTATTTCAATATGAGGCAATAAGGACAAAGACCCTTTATTTTCAAATTAGGATTATTTCCTTTGACATTAATATGGTTGAAACTTTATCTATTCCCCCAAGGTTGAAAGAAAACAGAAAAAAAAAGTATCAATGTGGAGAATTGAGTTTTTAGATCAATTACGATCTTTGTTTTTAGTTCTAACGATTTTTTTTATGAGGGATCTTTATGTTTACATATAAAAGGATATTATATTTTTCTTTTCAGTTTTGTAAATAATCAAGAGATCTTAATTCCTGGTATTAGATGTGAGTTATAGTAATTAGTAAGCATTATATAAGCTATAATACATATAGATTATGCCCTAGATTCTGTTCCCACATGTTATTAACAAAACAAAGTCTATGCATACACATAAGATCTTGGCCCACCTTTATATGTAGTTTATATACATAAACTTTCTTGACTATCTTTTCAAGGGTACGTACATTTTACCCATTCAAGTTACTAACTACTTACTATAAGATAATTATACGCAATTAATCTATATGATAACTATTACTTATATATATTTGTGTCCCAATATAGTTTTTATTTTTAGTCGATCTCAAAAGAATACTTTCTTATACTATGTTAGTAGTCATATTTCGCTTTTCGAGAGTTATAATATGTAAACTTGTATTATTCATCCTATACTTTTTATATATCTAAACTTCAAATATAAAATATTAAGTTGCTCTAATACAATTTAGCTTTAAAATGAGTTAAATTGACTCTTTGAAGACAAACATGACAAATAATTTGGGAAGATGGATATATCTTCTTCTTCTTTTTTAATAGTTAGTAATAATTTGACTTTAAACATTCTTTTTACCTTTAATATATAATGAATTACAACTAAAATAAATTGTATGGTTTGTTACGTTTTACCCCACAAGTTTCATAGGTTTCTTTCATAATTCTTTTGTCTAGTCAAATACAATTAAACTAATTTTCTATCACATATTAAACTACATTATTAGTATAAATAAATTTATATTGTCAGTGTATATTACTATATAACTTAAAATCTCAAATATGGACTTCTTTTAGCATTTGACATTGAAATTTAGTTATCACCTTTAAGTTTGCTTGAGCAACTTTTCATCTACTTTTATGGAAAGAAATAGTCTTCTTACTCCAAAAAGATATGCCTAAATACACTTATATTATAATTCAGTCTTGATCCAAAGTCTCACTTCTTTTCATGCGCCAAATAGGAGTACTCTAAAGCAATAATGCATCTTAAAGCAAAGTGTCACACTATACTTAAAATATATAATTTTGAATAATGTAACTAGTCATCACCTAATAATATATTTCTTAATAAGGACTTCGTTGAATTTGTAGGAATTTTTAGTGTATAATAATTGGTTTTGTACTTTTACCTTTTCTTCACGAGATGGAAAACAAGACTTATGTCCATTTTAAATCATCTTTAGAGGATGGTTGATGTGATTGATCACTATAATAATTGAACTCCTAGAGATTAAAAAAAAATAGTGGACTGAAGGTAATTGGATTAAGTAGAATCCTAAGTCCACAAAGCTAATAATAGTTATAATATATTTTTATCTACATTTTGGAAAATATTCAGCATCTATTATTATGTGACGTTGGAGATAATAATTGTGCTTCCAAGAGAAAGTCCAATCAACATAGGATAATACTACTATATATACTTTATCCATATATAAATAAGAGGAAAATTATTTTTTAAATTAGTTGAGGTTACCATCTGAGCTAGTCTTGATAGACAGAGTTAATGATACTCCATATTATGGAATGATTGAGAGTAGTTGAGATGCATGCCAGGTGGTTCAGACACCTAATGAAGAAGAAGAAACTACTATTTGAGCATTTTGCTAGTCCCATTAATTCCAACTATTAAATACAACTTGAATTAAATGAATCTAATTATCTACATGTCAACGATAAAAATTGTAGCCGAAGTAGAAGTGGTAAAATCAACAATTGGAATATGATTCGCCCTATTCGTTGAATTTAGTCCGGCTAAAGGTTTATTATTTTTATTAGTTTGGCTAATATTGGTTTGCTCAAATTTTACTTAAATTGTCTCTTTCGAAATCTTGTTAAAATACTTTATTTATTATTATTAAAAGAACAAATACAGAATTTAAAATTTCATAATATTTGAGCGAATTGAATTATGACTTATAATTTAAGCTATCTTGACCCAATTTAACTCAGTCCAAGTAACTGTTAGACAAGGTTATAATGACCAATTTATTCACTCAACCTATTTTAACTTGTCCAATTCAAATCAGTCTATTAACAAGAATGACTTTGGAGGTGGTTGATCTTGAACTTTTGAACTCGCTAGCCTCATAGATAAAACTCAATTTGTTATTTTGAACTTGAAGATTTTCTTATGGAGTAAGCGAAAGTCAAATGTTCAAAATCACCGATTTTCAAGATCATTGCTTATTATTTCCTGACATAGGAAAATTGGTAAAACCAAACAACTATATATAGTGAATTCAAATGATAATGGGAAAATTCACCATCTTTGCCCAAACATGGATATAGACCACCGGCAGGAAGTGTGTAGGAAATTAATGACAAGAAGACTTGAACAAAATTAATTAACATATTATATTCAACAATATACTTCACTTTCAATCTTTTCACTCTTTGGTAGCTAAAATGGATCTAATTAAAAAAAAGAAAAAAAGAACATGTGGACCTTGTAAAGTTTTTCTTTATTTTGTATTTTTTCTCTCTGGAAATGACATGTTGCACGTTCCACCTAAATTGGTCCATTTATTTACTTGAACTATTTTGACCTGCTTAATTATTCCATGAAAATGATTTTTAAAATTATGAATAATTTTTGTCTATTTAATATATTATATATAGTTATAATAAACAAGAAAATAAAATTTGTTTGTTTTGTTTGGAATTAAATGAATAAATAAAATTTGGTATGTACAAGTTGTTTTATGATTTATTGTTTAGTTCATCTTGACCATGCCTATTTCAACTCAAGTATTTTGATATCTTTTTCTTTACCTTCAAAGAGTTAGAGCCTCTTCTCTTATCAGTTCTTCCAGCTATTTAATTTCCTTTTCGATTGTCTGCATCAGACGGAAGGCGATCTCAAACATCTTTGCTCATTTGTTATTGAAGGGTGCGACATAATATATATAATTGAAAAATGACTTACTCAAATTAAGCTCAAACCTTTTTTTTTTTTACACCCTAAGCTTAGGAAAATGAAACCAAATAGTGTTCTAAAACTTGGGCATTAGCTTTCACATGAGAAATGATCACCATATTTGCACAAAAAGCCATTATAGACCGGGAGAAAGTAAAGGAAATTAATGACAAGACTTGTACAAATTGGCTAAACCTTTGACAAAACTAATTCATTTGTTATATTCAACAGCATATATACTTCGTTTTCAATCTCTTCACTCTTTGCTAGCTAAAATTGATAATAAAAACAAATGAACATAAAGCAGAATCGTGTACTAAAGTTTCCGCTATGCACGGAGTTCAGAAAATGATCGATTACAAAGGCCTATTGTACTACACATCTGTACTTTGTATCTTTGTAAAAGACTATTTATACATCTCAAACTAAATGACAATAACTTTACCAATTACATCAAGGTTGTAAAAAACCAATCGACATGTCTCATTGTACACAGACGAGAAGAAGTAATACAACCAAAATGAACATAATGCACAATTCAGTGTATTAAGTTTTCACTATGCACATAGTTCGTAGAAGGATCAAATCACAAGAGTCTTTGTGTGTAACTATATCTTGCATTACAGCAAGAGTCTGTTTCTTGAGTTCAAAGTTCAAATATGTAACCTACTAATCAAATGATACTAGTTATACCAAGATATTTAGCTCGATAAAAAAAAAAAAAACAAATCGACATGTGGACCATAAAAATGGATATGAAAAGTATTGAACATATGTAATTGACTCTTTATCTTTTGTATTTTTTTGTTTGTTAGAAATGACTTGTTGCACGCTTTCATTAAATAGGCACAAACACTTATCCATAAATGCATGAAGCCAAAAAATGTACAACTGTTTTCATGCACGTAATGTCCACCTAAAAATGAGACAACTTCCTTAGTTTCTTCTCAATTGTCTTTGCTAATTGCTATATGACAAATTGACCTCACTCTTGTCTTGTCAAATATATATGTTTTATTTATTTTATAGTCCCTCTCCATCCTGTGGATTTATTGCAACAGCTAGCTGTAACCACACATTCATATTTTTCTTATACTTTTTTGTCTCATCTTTAAATAAAATTTCAATATCATGAGTAGTTTAATTATTGCATTTTCTTTTGATTTTTCCTAATCTGTATATTGACCAAGTATTATTAGTTGTATGAATAGTGGATAATTGAAATATGATCATGAATTCATTGGTTTGATCTCTAGTCTCAACTTTTTTGAGACTAATTGGTTTTTTATATGGTTTTTCTTGTTTTTGAAGTTCAGTTAAGTTCAAGATACAATTTTTTAGGAATAATTATCTAACTAGAAAAACGTATACATTATATTTATCAAACATAAAATGATCTAGAAAAATTATCAAATATAATTAGAGTTTCTGAAATTCACCTTGTATCAGGCAAATACTAACAATTTATGAAATTAGCATTATATTAGTGATACAGCAGTTTCTGAAATTCTCTATATATGAATTATCAGTGATATAGAGCGAATTTTAGAAGCTGTCATATCACTAAATCATTATTGATGTTTGCTGGTACTCATGGGTTAGCAAAGTTAGCCCAATTAAAATTTGGCCCACCCAATCCAGCTCTTTAAGAATTGGGCTCGTTTGGACAAAATATGTAGCCCAACACCTTTTGATAAAAACTTTTTTTTTTTTTGGTTTGATATAACATGATAAAATTTTAGAATAGTAAACATAATAGACATAATAGGGCTCTAAGCAATAGTTTTGATAATTGCGCTGCATACCTATAGTTATGTTTGCTATGGAGGTTGTGGTTTGTATATTTCGCTTATCAATATACAAATAGGGTAAGTATATACAAATTCTGTATTTATATATTTAGGAAATTTTCAGAACTCCGTTTGAACATTTCGCTTGCCAATATACAAACAGGGTAATTTATTATGAATTTTTCATAAATCGTATACAAATAGTTAGGGTAAGTATATACAAAATTCTGAATTTATACAATGAGGAACCAAATTATACAAATTCTGAATATAAATTAAGTGAATTATACAAATCAGGCGAATAACAATTTTCTTAAACTCTAGCTATAGTACCTAATATAGGTTAAATGTTTGTTGTTCTACATAATTTTCCCGTATAAAACATAAATAGCATTATGAGGAAGGAATATTTTTTTCGGTAATTATAACATATCATAAGAAAACTAAGAAAGATGAATGAGGTAAGCTATGATTAGTTATTTACTTTATCTTGGCTTAACCTAATTAATCTGTGGGTAGTATTGGGTAATGACTTGATTTAGTCTATTTTAAATAAGGGAAAATTGTATATAATAGCAAACTATTAATTCAAATTAAATGCTATAAATATAGTTTGATTTTATTGTACCTCATAGCAAACTGTTGCTATTTCACCTCTCTCCTGGTGAATCTCACTCGCCACTCTCGTTCTCTCCCTCGCCTCTCTCGTTTTTTATACAAACGCAAGTGTATAAAGTGCGTTTGTGTTTGTATAAAGCGAGAGAAAATTGTATATATACATATATTTTCGTTCCCCTCTCCCAGATCTCGCTCGCCACTCTCCCTGATCTCGCTCTCTCACTCGTCTCTCTCACTTTATACAAAAAACACAAATTGTATAAAATGCGTTTGTGTTTGTATAAAGCGAGAGAAAATTGTATATATACATATATTTTCGTTCCCCTCTCTCCCCTCTCCCCTCTCCTAGATCTCGCTCGCCACTCTCCCAGATCTCGGTCTCTCACTCGCCTCTCTCACTTTATACAAAAATGCAAATGTATAAAATGCGTGAAAATTGTATATATACATATATTTTCATTCCCCTCTCTCCCCTCTTCCAGATCTCGCTCGCCACTCTCCCAGATCTCGCTCGCTCTCTCACTTTATACAATTGATCTTTTTGTATATGTATACCAAAGCAGATTATACAACTGTTTTTTTGTATATGTATAGCGAATTATACATATATATGTTTGCTATGGAGCACAATTATGCAAACTTTGCTATAGCATACAAATATGAATTTTGTGTTTGCTATATTTGAAAGTTGCTCTTTAAATAACTCAAATTCAATCTAAATGTCCATTTGTTATCTTAGATACCTCCAACTCACAGCTACAAATGATAATTAAGGTGCATCTTGGGAGCATTTTTGACTAATCAAGTAATTAGGCTTAATACATTGTTTATCTCCTGAGCTTGTTGGCATAACCACTACTTCTGGGAAATTGCATTATACGCGCCAACTAAAGTATGACACGTGTCAAAACTCAAGAAAAAATAAAGAAGAAAATAATTAATTTACATTCCAATTGAGATAATAAGACATGATGAAGTTCCAAAATTGCAACCATAAGTCCATAAATATGGATATAATTCAACTTTAAAATTGCAACCATACATATCTCTAAGTTTACTTGAACACAATCTTAGCATTACAAGATGCTTTGGAAAACCCCATTATTTGTGATTTGATTTTTTCTCTATGAAGTGAGTCTCTTGATTTGGAAAGCTCAGCTACACACAAGAACATTTCTTGCAATACTTTTCCATGCTTCAACAAAAACTTCACTAAACTAACATCACTTTCACACTCTGAGAATCCATGAATCTTCACTACTTTAAGATGTTGAAGGAAAGAATTCATAGCATTACTTTGTGACTCCCAAAATCTTTCTTCACCAGAGTTTGACAATTGCCATAGGTCCCTATTCCATTTCTGAAAATTTAAAGACAAGAAAAATGTGTCCTGAGGCTAAACATCAATCTAATGAGAAATATATATTGACAGTGTAAATGGGTGAATTATAACCTATAGTTTCGAGCATGACACTAGTGATCTCCAATCTAAGAAGTTGACACACATTCACTTAATCAATCAGTCCAAATAGAAATGAGCTTAACTTATATACACAAATATGGAGTCATAATTTTTTCACACTATCCATGAACTTTAATTTGTCATACTTAGTTGCAGTTTGTATCATTATCGAGAATTTTTTATTGAATCAATGAAAAAATAAAAAATATTCAGTGTTTATTCCAAGTATTTCAATGAGAATCTTTTTTTTGTCATGCATTTTCCCAGTGAGTTGATTGGGTGAATATGAGGTGGGAACAAATGTTTTACTTATAACAAAATTTTCTATTGATTCGTGATAGGAAAAAAAGGTCTACTATTTCTAAAAGTGTATTTTATGTTCTTAACAATGTAGTTTATAAATTGCATAAGATCATAGATATTTATTGAGATAATTTTCTTCGTGTGTTTATAGGTTTATGTACCTCGTTACTCGTATCGTATATACTCTTTTGCACCAACAATTAATACATAATTAAGATGGATTTTTTGCTGAATGAAAAATTCTTACCCTTCTTTGGATGTTGTGTTCATTTGTAATCTTGAGAATTAGTGTATTTGTTGCTGGAGAACTCCTAAACAGATTTGCTAATCCTGGAATGTTGTGTTTGTGGAACCCTGTGTGCAACTCTAATGATCTTAGTTTACTAAAAGGACGCAGAGAAATTCCTGCCAAGTGATTATTCTTCGATAGAATCTGTAACAAAAAATAGAGAGCTATAGAAATCAATTTTGAAGTCTACAATGATATAATAACGAGAAAATCATGAGAGATCAGAATTCAAATCATGATAGAAAGCAAAACGAGGCATAACGTAAATGTAACAATAATTTGGTCCAATAATCAATAAATATTTATAGGATAAATGGCTAACAAAATATCGAGGAGATCAAAATTCAAATCATGGTAGAGAGCAAAATGTGTCCTAATGTAAATGTAACAACAACAATTTGGTTGAATAATCAATAAATATTTATTGGATTATGCCTAACAAAATAAGGAGATCATGGGAGATCAGAATTCAAATCACGGTAGAGAGCAAAACGAGGCCTAATGTAAATGTAACAACAACAACTTGGTCCAATAATCAATATATATTTACAAGAGAATATCTAGTAGTCAATGAACTGAACTAAAAACATATGAAAAATCAAGACTCAAAGCTGAATAGCTTAAGTCTTGATGGGCCGAGTTACTCAATTCCGTTGACAAACACCAAGTTATGAGACAACATTAAATGTCACGCATATAGCTAGATCCATAGAAGAGGCCAAAATTAAATGTCACACATCAAATAAAACATAAAACTTGGTAAATGAATAAAAAATATACCTCAACACTTTGATTTTCAAGAACTAAAGAATGTGAATGAGAGAGGCCAGACAAGAAATCATTGACACTTCGAAGCTTCATTGCACCAAGATCCTCAAGAAGAACAAAAAACCCAACAAAAGCCTCAATCAAACAAGTTAAATTCTCCAAACAACTTTGATCCGTTATAGTATTATTCGACCAAACAATACTTTTTAGCCTCGGACCAACAATCTTAACCTCAGTACCACTAGAATACGAATCGAAGCAGCTGTTGACACTCAATTTCTCCAATTTCGAACACGTTATATCTAAATTCTCCAATTGAAAACAATTTTCAAGAATTAAATCCTCTAGTACACGACAACTTACATGTAAGTAAGTTAACCCCGTACAACCATCAAGACTCAATTTCTTAAGCAACGGGAAAGATGTCTCCGTGAATAAATCATGTAACGAAGGTTGTTCGTACATAATAAGACACGAAAGTGACAATGAGAACAAATTTTTGAACCCATTTTTCATAATTGATGAAGGAGGTAACCTAAATCCTGGATATTTTGACTTTAATTTAAAAACTCTTAAAGAGTCACTATTTATAGCACTTCTTGGGAAATTGAAATAATCATTAGTGGCTACTTCAACGTCAAGTTCTTGTACATTGTGCTTAACAGCGCCACGAATCAGGGCGTTTAGATGTGAAAAACTCAGATTTGCACGAAAACGGAGGACCCTGATCCCTGAATTTTTTTCGCGAAAAGATAACACTTGATCTATGAAATCAGCACCTCCAGCACTAGTACAATTTGCGTGGAATTTTTTGTAAACGTTTGAGCTGACTTTTGAGATTGAGTTATTATAACCTGATGATGATGTTGATGTTGATGGGACATTGATTGTTGTAAAATCGAGATCTGGGAAAGTGTGCCACATGTGCTTCCATCGCTTAGAAAGTACGCTAAGTTTGGCGATGGATTTGATTGGAAGGAAGAAAAGAATTTGGTGAATGACCGCATCAGGAAGATCACTGATGCGGTCTTCACCACATGAAAAACTCGCGTAGATTTCATCAAGAAGCCTTTTTTTCTTAACGGATCTTGTTTCCATTAGAATGATTTTTTTGTTCTTCATCTAAAATGTCACATTGGATCACCCTTTTTCTTCTCTAATTTAGATGAAATGAAAGAGTGTGTTGTTAGGGTTAGTTAAGAGTTTGAAAGTTTCAAAAGAGTGAAAAAAGAAAGAAAAAAATTTCTAAAAAGAGTGAAATACTACTATACTTAGTGCGGGAAGGACGCTAGAGTTTGTTTCAATTCAAAAACATTTTGATTTATAAGGTGTATAAGATAATAAAAATAGTATAGTGTTACTAAATTTTAGTATAACGTTTGGTTGTAAATTTATGTCTGGTATACATAATAAATCATGACATTAATAATATGAGATACTATTCATATTTTAATACATTATATTCAATATTATTGGATCTAATGTCGATATAGAAAGAGAGGTAACTAATGCTGAAATTCGGGAAGCTATCTGAATGCTGAGTCAAATAAAAGTTCTAAGTTGTCCTAGTTTTGTTTCAAGAACTATTAGTGTTTGCACTTCAAAAGGGCGTTTTTACCCTTTAGAGACATTTACAAAGAGTGTTAACTGTTAATGACAATTAAGCTATTACCGTTAATTAACCGTGCAAAAAGTAAAAAAAATAGGAAAATAAAAAGGTTCTATATTTTTCACCATAGACAGCTTATGCATTTTAAATGGATTTAAATAGACGTTCCTATTTTGGATGAAAATAATTGAAGAAAATACACCGTTATGATCATTTCATTAAATTCGGAGAGATTTCAGATTTAAAAGGCATATTTTTCTCATATGATATCCAATCTTTATTCTTTAAGATGAATTAAATTAATAATAATATATAGTGAAACTGAAAAATAAAATAAAATTACACTATTAGTTCAATGTAACCAGCTACAATAAGATATTTTTTTTCAAGTTATCATATCTTGCAATTGCAATGAACATTTATATTCGTTATAATTAAATCAACTTAACCTGATGATGTAAAAATCTATACACCAATAATGTGTACAAAATTTAAACTGACCTTTTAAGGTTTTGACACCGCATTAATGAATAAAATTTTAAAAGAATGAACACATAATTTCTTACTGTATCATTTGTGCAAAAAAAATATAATACGAAGGATAGTGGTTTCTATATTTGTGTTTTTTTTATGGTCTCATGCTTTTGTGGGTGCTTCTTGTGATAAAATATCTATGGCATTTTGATGATTTTTTTTTATAGCAACTTGACAAAATAAGTACAATTCAATCCATTGTATTGCATCACCAACGTGAAAAAAAATGGAGGGATTATGACTCATAAGTTGAGCCAAAATGAATATTTTAAACTATGTGTCTAGACTTAGAGCCGTCAAAATGGGTTTAGTCCATGAAATCGGCCTATCCCAGTCCGTTATTGGGTAGGGTTGGAATAGGATTTTTCAAGCTTATTTAAAATTAGATCTTATAAGTCCGGCCCGATCATATAAGTCCTTGGTTCTTGAGGCTTGATCGGAGCCAGGTCGGGGTCGGCTCATGAGCCAAAACTATTTATTTAAGGGTAACTTACAGAAATTTCACTAGTGTATGAGTTAATTACTTAGATGCATGCTATGTTCTAATAGTACGAATCTTATCAGATTTTGATGTGTCCAATTACATGTATCTCGAGATACATGAACTCAAAATTAGGTGTAATTTGTTCTAAATACATTATATCCAAGTGGATTCGCATGTATCTAGGATTCATTGACAAATCTCACGCCCTTGCCTCCCTCCATCTCGCTCGAATAACTGGGATGCATCACACTGATACATGTATCTCGCATATCTAGTATCCTAGATACATGTTAATCACACTAGATGTTTTGCTAGTATTATTGAAACAATACCATTGTTTGACATATTTGATTTGAAAATTTTCTCATTTTCTTAATGTCATAGAATTTTAAATTTGAAAAGGAAAAAAAAGGGTTGGCCCACCCTAGCCCGCGACCCTTCTAGGATTGGATTGGATTGAGCATTTTCAAGCCCTTCCTAATGAAGGGTCGACCTGCCCTATCCCATTAATTTTTTAAGCCCGCAAAACTTAGACCGGGTGGGGCAGAACTGCCCTTTTTGACAACTCTATATCTAGTCATGTTATAGAAGTTGAAATGGAGATATGACTTTAATATGATCTGATTAAAAGTGCTTTTAAGCATATTCTAATTGGGCCTATGATTAGAGCTTTATGATTGGGCAGGCGTTTCAAAAGTATGCTGTTATAGCTTCTTCGCGATTGATCGTGTCAAATCGTTTTATAGTCAAGAAAACCTTATACATTTATGTGATTATAAATAATTTCATCAAGGGTAAAAAAAATAAATTAAAGTCAATTTATATTTAATTATAAAAAGATAATATTCTTGTTAAAATAAACTAAAAAGAATAAATATGACACATAAATAGGATATACGAAGTATGTCTTTTGATCCTTAGGAGTTAGGACCAAATTTTTTGCTGCGACACAAGGTTATATCCTTCATTTTTTCTATCACGTTTCTAATTGTGATCACATGAACTATCACAGAAAATCTTAGTATCTCATTTAATTGATTATGATTTCTCACCTATAATCCCCTTCTACTACTTTATTATTATTTTTATTTTAAAAAAAAGACCGCATAAATTATCATTAACCTTCTCTTAATTGTCTCTACTCTTATAAAATAGGATTTCCAATCTTTTACATTTTTAATATTTGAAGCTAAATGCATTTCCTAAAATTAACGATTTCATAGTATATTAAGGATAATAATTTTGAGTTAAATAAGTTGATAACTTTTAAAAGAGATATATTCACATATTTTCTATAAACTCGACAACAGTAAGATCTACTGACTGTTTTTTTTTTAAAAAAAAAAACTTGAATTTTTATAAAGAAATGAGATTTCTTGGTCGTTTATAAATTAAAAAAATTCCTTATTAAATCTCGTAAGTATAAAAATGAAGATATCTCATCTTCCCAAACTCTAGTAATAGGAGTCTCTTCAGATAAATACTAATCCAACTGTGAATATGTTTAATTTATATCTTATATTACCACGTGATTAATACATTTTGCTCAATATTATTATTTTAGTTGATGTAGAAAAAAGTAGTGAAAGCTCACAGCCCTAGCTGCACAGTTGTGTTTGAACATAATCTGCCCACTTTGTGACGTTAAATAGAGTATTATATTTGAAACACACATTAAATTAGTATTTAAATATTTCGTTTTAAGTTCAATATTTAGAGAACACCCACATTAGGACTTTTATGTGTTCAGAATGCTGAAATTCAGTATTTACAAGTTCATCAATTTGTAACTGTGAAAAGAGTTGATATTCACACACAAAGAGACATAATTTCACTTCAAATTAACGCATCTTTATTCTTTACATAACAAGTCGATGGCCCGGAACAAGATCGGCTAAGATTAGTAACAGAATAGCTCGGAACGCTCTACGAGGCTAGATCAAACACCTTTTTTCAGGTCGGGAGACCATGACCCAGGGGCGGACCCACATTAAGTTAATGACGCATTGGTTCAGCGTTCAATTTAGTTCTAAAAAATTATATATACGTCAGTGTCATTATCATATCTAACTCAGTAAGCAGCCCATTATCCGATTGTTAGCCAATATATTTTTTTCTTGACAAAATTAGTTAGGAGCAGCCAGCAAAGCATATTTTTAGTCCCTTTCATCCAAAACAAAGGTCAATAAATCAACAAAATAAGCTAGCAACAAAAGGAATAAAAAAATATGGGTGTGAATTGTTGAAAATTATGTTCAATTCATATGATTCTTTTTATTTCGTGTATTTTCCCAATGCCCAGCCAATTACGAGAAAACTATCACTTTTCCACTCAATTTACAGTGAAGAAATTTAATCTTATATTATATAAATTTAAATATAAAAAATAAAGTTCACGATCAAACGTCTATCCTATAAAATGTCAATTTTAGCACACATAAAAATCAATTTAAGAATGAAGAAAAACAAAAGGTGACCCAACCCAGCTTAGAATCAATTATTAAGACGTAGAAGGTTGTGCTCGTGCCCCCCTTTCTTACCAAAATCCGGTCAGTCCGGCCTAAAATCGGACGAGAAGGCCTCACAGGTGAGCCCTTCTCGATCCGATCCCATTGACACTCTTACTTCTGCTACTAAAAATTATCACATCCGACTATTCATCGCATCATACGCAGATATGATTAAAAACTATAGCTCATAATTTGATCGAAAATACTAAAATCATTGTCATTCTTCTTCAGGATTCATTTTTATTTTTCTAAAAAAAATAAAAAAAATAGTAAAACAAAATGAATCCTAAAGAAAAAAATTAAAAAAATAGAAATTACAAAGAATATGTATATTTGTGTAAGAAATCAAATTCCCAACTCTTGTTTCCATCTTTGCTATTACAATTTTCAACATGAAAAAGTCAATAATCAAGACCTCAAAAGAAAGAAAAAACTAAGTTACATAATTTATCAGTCTCAAATTGAGTTACAAGAACACAAATCACCTAGCTGAATTAGCTTTAAATTCATGTTGCAGAGCAATTTCAAGCAAATCTTCAGATTCTTCCATCAATTCAGGACTCAATCTAAACATAAGTACACAAAACTCCATCTGATCAAGATGACCATCTCCATTCAAATCACCTTCTATCAACATACTCATCAACTCATCATCTCTCAAATTTTGTAACCCAAGAAGTGCTGAATTCTTCTTCAAACTCTCAAAAGTTATAACCCCTCTTTCCTTATCCATTAATAGCCTAAACCCATTACACAGCTCTCTAATTAAACCATCCCCACCAAGCTTATTTGCCATCATTGGCAACATATCTTGAAAATCATTTGTTTTTGTACCAGCCATTATTATCTTCTTGAAAATTGAAAATAAAAACCCTTTTTACCCTTTTTATTGATGATGATGATTCTTGAAGTGGGAAACAATATAATGATGATTTCCTCTAGATATAGGGGGGATAGAGAAGGGGTGGGGGGGTTAGGAGTGGGGGTCAGGTATGGATGACAACCAAATCACAGAGATTTTAATTGTTGGTCGGCTATAGGTTCTTACAGACTGCAATTGCCTC